ACGATACGAACAATCATGCATAAGCACGCCCATTAACGAGTAGCGATAATACACCATTGTGTTTTTTCATTTTTTCGTATTTTTTTTCATCTCTTTTATCTTCTTCTTAACACGTTCGCCGCACACGTAACACCGTCCTACTCGCGTATAAATTCTACGATAGCGATTCGATCCGCCGATCGATCGATCGATCGATCGGTGGTAAACGGGTGCACAATAAAATTCGCGTTTTTTTTTGGCTAATTACAACGATTACGGTTACATTATCGTGAACTCCGCAAGCTCAAAAAGTGGATTGATCGCTAGAACGGCGGCACCATGCATCTTATTTTTATATCTACTACGTAGACCTGTATAATGGATTTAAATGTAATTCGACATCTAAGGAATTGACACCGTCAGTGGTCAGCGGCGATCCTTCGCGCAAGTCCTGACTAGAAACGTTCTGAGAAGGTCGTAAGAGTGTCCTTTTTCTTGGGTTGTAATTTGAGAAAAAATTGTCTGACTTTCAGCTTTGATTTTAAGTACACTGTTGGCCATATATGCATGTGGGTACGACAGGAAATTATTTCCACTAGAATTGTACATTAAAGACTCTTAACTGCGTTTTCAGAAAGTGATCTGTACAAAAAAGAAATAAGTAACATTTACTTCATACTTAAGCAAACTTAGTTGTATTCATCACGATCGCCTAGTTTAAATTCTCTTTACTACATTAAAGTTATTTTAATTATATGTTTTAAAAATCACATTGTTTAAGGACTACATTTATGAAATAAAAGGAGACACCAGAATGTAAGTACATTTCACTCGTGCATCAACGAGTTCTTCAAACTATGCCATGTATAGACGTGAGTATTTTTAAGTACTTCGTGCTCGCAGCTACGTATAGTGAATATTTTTTTTTTTTTATTGCGCTTAGGTATATTTCATTGCGTATATAATAAAATTGCGAAAATATGGAAATAAAATTTAAGTTGAATTGTTTTATCAGTGTCCTGAAAGATCACATTGAACATGATTGCAAGTAAACGTACATATAAATTATCTGAGGTAATTCTAAACTTCTCTCAACAAACAATACTCCCAAACGTTAACGTTTCATTTAAAATTAAAGCTAAAATTAAAGAAACCCTTCCAAAAATTGCATAATCTTATATCACACTGCACTTAAAGAAATAAGTATTGTGACCATAAATTGCCACCCCCTTCTTTGGGGGTAATCCTGCAGCAAACAGTGTACATACATCACAAAAATGGTTCTCTAAAATAGCAAGTATAGAACATTTGAATAAAATTTCGCCTCGTCACTGTATATATGACTGACGACAATGTCGTTTTCCGAATTGTATCATTAAATCGAATTCAAATCGCGATGGTGCGCACAGCACAAACCCACGACGCAAAAGAATAGCGTCGCGACGACCACTGACGGCGGCCATAAACGCCCGCTCCGATTTATTCTCATTTACTCTGCATCCCTCTCACGCTATCGCCTCTTCGCGCCCTCGCTCCCTTGTCCTCCATTTCTTTTCCTTCTCAACACGAAGACCCTTCGACTTTGTGAAACATCACTGATCGTTACGAAAGGAAACACATCGAGATCTACGACGGCTAAGCGCGTGCGTGTGAAAACAATCGGCTCTCGTAATTGGACAGAAGAAATCGCTACTTGCTACCTTGATAAGTGAACGAGACAATGGCATCTATATCGAAGAACTCGAAGAATGTCCCTGGACGATATTCTATTTAATAAGTAAACTTTTTGAGAAAGATTCCAATAATTTGTGAAATTTTTACTGAGGAGGATTCCGAAAGAAATGCAAAACCTTTTTGTTAATTATGGATTAATGATGTCTAAAAGCATGAATCTTATTTATAACAATATTATTATCTCGAAAACATGATTTACGAAAAGACTGCTTTATTTCTCAAGAGCATTCTTCGTAGATCCTCGCAATACACGTAATGCCAATCGAACCACGAGCGTAAACAATTGAAGCTATGCACACGCATCTCTTACGACGCAATTACGCTATCTATACTCGCCCGTGAACGTCGCCATTTTTCAAGGAATGAGTGACTAGCATTCGTTCTACAGCGAAATGACGAGTAAACGAGAGTCGCTTGGATCATTCGCGAACGAACATACTCTATTCCTGTGCCTTGCCTTGCTTTCAGAACGTTCACACTACTTTCCTTTATCTTTCAAACTATTTATCTAGCAGTTGACACTATTCGAGTCTTTTGGGTAATATGTTGTGTCATCTTGAACAAGTATTAACTAAAGTTTCTTCAGAATTACAGGTTAATCACGATACACGTGACTTCTATTATATCATCAAATGATTTTGATCAAACTATAGCTTCTCTGAGTGCTCCTAGTGCATTCCTAGTTATTAGGCATTTATAACACAAACCATGTATTCGAGTAATAAAGTTCATCGACCCCTGGCCCACATGTGATTCAGAACAGTTCTCATCCAAGAGTCTCTGGCCCATATATGGATCAGCACAGCTTCCATTGAGGAAACTAAACGCTTTCTAGAACGTGCAAATTACATCTATGTTTGCTTATGGGGACAGTGAACGTGTTAACTCGGACACCCTACTTGCTGTCAATCGCATCCTCCGATAAGGAGACGCATGAACTCGAGACATTCAAACAAGGCTTCCCATCGATTTCTCTTGCACTTGCCCAAAAAGACACAGGTCATCGATCCAAATCCTAGAACAACGTCAACTACGAGAACACAGGTCGTGAAAGTCTCGAGTGTTTAATCGATTCGACCTCTTTCATTTCTCGTTCGAACCTAACTCCTGTATCTGTCCCATTCTGACACGCTCACACAAACAACGTCGATCCCAACCTGGCCAAGTGCCACGGTGGGATTGAACTCGGGATGTGATTCCTCGTTTTTAAGCCTATATAACGTTTTGTCTTGCTGATTAATTATACCTCGCGTGCGAAAATACCAAGAAATATCCTCGCAAAAAGTTAAGCTGGACGGCTTTGATAAAAATTAGGATCTTTTTCGAAGGACGTGAACGTCAAGGAATAGGAAGTGTTGCGGGGGCTGGTGATGGTGGATCATGATTGTGATGAACGGTGGCGTGTGTCTCAAGACGGGGGCGATCCAGCGTACGCGGCATCGTGGGAAAAGCGTCGATCGCCCCTAGGCGGGAGTGCTTCTTGTGCAGACCTGTACAGTGGACGATGCAAATATGGTGACTTTGGAGAGTCAGCAGAGTAACTATGAGGTGGCATCCTTGAGTGCGGGCTACCAGCAATTTGGAATAGACTTTGAGGGGCGCTAAGACTTGGTGTCGAAGTGGGTATATACTCAAAATGTTAATAAACGCAAAGGTATCCTCTATGACATATAAAAATCTATGACACTTTAATATAATGCTTTGAGAAATAATTTGTCCTGAGAACAAAATATGGAACCCTCTATGACATGCAGAATCCATGGCTCTTTAATATAATGCTTTGAAAAATAATTTGTCTTGGGAGAAAATATGAAACCCTCTATGACATGTAAAAATCCATGACTCTTTAATATAATGCTTTGAGAAATAATTTATTCTGAAAAAAAAATATGGAACCCTGGATATAGTTTGCTAACCTGAACAAATCCATTTAACAGTTGGCACTCAGCATGCTCATGGCCTCAGAGTCTTTTCGATACCGATTCAACAGGGTCGCTATAGTTGCATCGTTGATTATACACGTGACGTACTTGCGCCTATAATAACGTGTACGGGTAATTCGCGTCTGATGCCCGTGTTAACGTGCACATCTCGCGGGTGTGTCGTTTCTATGTATATACCGTAAACTGAATTCCCTAAGTGCTTAGCCAAAAAGTGTCTCGTATCACGGCAATTACGACATCGGCGCAGAATACAATGGAAACAATTTCTCTGTCGAAACGGTACGCGTTTCTCTCCCCTGTCTTTCGCTCATTCGCTCGCCACCCTAAGTACGGAATTATCCATACATATATATAATAAATCATATATATGTATATATTTATATATGTATATTTATACGTCGCAGAGATTATCGTATTTACAACGGGACGTTACTAGCGCTAGAGGTGTCGGTTGGCCGTTACCCCGCGCATCTCGCGGCGGGAATTGCGAACGCGTGGTTCGCCTTGCTAGAGACTGTTCACGATTTCCTCATCGTGCTGTCCGCGAATCTGTCGTTGGACCAGCGTGCTTAGGGCTCACCCATGATATGAACATTCCATTGCACGATACTTGGGAGAGGTCTGAAGTAATAAAAAGCATAGTCCTACAGGCGAGGAGTCGTTGATTCTTCCACGCGTCTTGTGGGTAGAAGAGCGGTCCACGATCAAACTTTCGTGTCGATATAAGCATGGATGGGAAGATGAGACCCGAGAGGACCCAGACCACCGTCTTAATTGTATATACCTTGGATGCCTCTCGAGTCTCATGTTATCCGTTCACTTTAACATGGGTGGGCCCTTACCCTCACGTGGGGTGTATCCAAGAATCGGCCTTTGAACGTCTCGCAAGCGTAGAGATAGATCCGAGTCTCCGTAATTGACTAGCGTTGAGGGACGCGTCGGTTTTAATCCCTGTCTTAAATGTTCACTTCCTCGAGCTCCGGGAGCCAAACGACGCATCCATCCGGGATCTGAATCACGGAACAACGCGCCCTCGAAAGCTCTAGACTGGCTCCCATCGAAGCTTCGTTCTACTGTTCGCTTGCGCGTCGCCGTCGATTCGGTTCGCGTCACGGAAGCACTGTCTTGAATTGTTACGAGTCGCGGAAAGCGAGTTATTGCTAAACGCTGAATATCGTGAATACTTGCTGCACGGCGACTACTCTCAGCGGCCCTCTATCTGATTGTAATAAACGGTTACGAAAGCGTTGTTGCTCGTTGCTCCTATCTCCAAATATCTCGAACGCATCGCGCGATAACTGCAGGAGATCGTGCGACGCGTTCGTTACTCTTGTTAGTGAAATCGTGGATCTGTTGCTGCCGAGTACACTTCGTGGTTAGATAGTTCTGTGACTGTCACCGTTGCGACGCATCCATGGCTTGGGGGAAATCCGTCGGTGTTGTGCAAAAATGCCAGACAACAGCTGGAGTGTGCTCGTGCGAGTACGATTCTGCTAGACATACGCGAAGCAGTCTCAGTAACGTTGTTGGAACTCGTGATGCCACCTGTTGAAGTCGATGTGGAAGATCACGATCGACCCGTTTGCCAGACCGGCCAGGAGAAACCTGAAACAGGGGATGAGTATACGTTGAAAACATTTGAAGATCGTGGGTAAATGATCGAGGGAGGGAGGATATATCCCGTAGGTGGAAATTCATAACATGCGTTTTCTACCTCTCTCGTTAATTAGAAGGATAGAATAAATTGATACATGAAATTGTAAATAGAAGTGGAGGCTACGCAACCCTTAGAGGAGCAATATTTACTTATAACATCGTAACAAAGCGTTTATAAACAAACTTCATATAACATTTTTTTCTTGTTTTCACTTGTAAATCATGCTCTTACAATCTTGGCGGAAAAGTAGCAAACACCCTGTATAAGAAAAAAAATTGTTCCTTGTATAGTACAATATGCTTTACATTCTCTATAAATTAATATTTTTCAAAAATTCCAGAAAAAATTGTTATGCACATTGGTAATCTTTGTCGTGTGTGGAGAAAGGTACCAGATGATCTCTTCGCCCTTGAGCAGCTCCGTGGGTACACAAACGCAGATTTCAAGTACCTACTTTATCGGCCAGAACTAACAGAAGTCGATAAGGCGATTTTACTCGCCAAATGTCATTGTACCTTGTACAGAGTGCGCCATTTTAACCAAATTACAAATGATCTTGGATTGTTTATGTTTAGTAACATTATATGTATAAGGTTCGTGATTTATTTAACATTTTGATAAAGATTCTCTATATAATATTGGATTTTGATGATATACATCATCAAAGATGTTCGATTGTACTCACTTTTGGTCATGAGAGAGTGCCAGAGAACGCACGCTGCTTTCGCAAGCTGGGAATGCGTAAAGGAGAGCGAGGTTGAAAGTCCTCCAAACTTCCACGATCCGTTTATCTCCTCCTGTCATTAAGTATTCGCCATCTCTGCTGAGCAGCAGACACTGAAAGGAATAGAAAACCATAACACGAATGTTAAAGATTAATCAAAGGCTGATTGAGGATACCTGAAGGTTATCGTTATGAGACTCATGACGAAGGCGTTTCCCATTTATGGTAAACGCTGCTATGTGTCCACGTTCGTAATTCACCACAATGACACCTTCTCGCGACATCGCGATATTTTCAGGCGAAGAGAATCCATTCGGGGCTTCCAGCGACCTCAAAAGGTCGCCAAAGGTCGTATGCACCAGAACAGGTCCATCTGTAAACAGTAATGACTTATTAAATATCGATCTCACTTTACACGATGCTCCTTTGAAACTGAAAATCGACATAGAAGACCACGGATAATTGAAGAAGATGTATAATTACAGTAAGATCCTGAAACAACCAAGCCCAACTCGGCAGATATAACAACAGCCGTCACTGGCTGCTCGTGTCCAGTAAGAGTCGCTCTGGGCGCTGGAGCTTCGCCTTCTCCAACAATTGTTTGCGTTCTGGCGTTCCAGTGCCACAATAACACGGTGCAATCTGCGCTGCCAGATGCTATGTAACAGTCGGAAGTGATGTTGCATTCGCTGCGCGACAAACACGTGACGACTCCATAGTGGCCGAACACTATCTGCACAATCTTGGCTGCAATATAATTGTTTTGGGTATTAACATATTCTATAGTTTCAGATTAACTGCTCAGTTTTGGGTCAACATCTCAATTACAACCCTTATCGTCAATATCATTACCAGTTTCAGTGGAAAACACCCGGAAACTATTATCCCAGAAGCCACAAGCGACCAGGAATCGACTGTCCACCGTGGTGACGAAGCAGTTGCTTCGAATCTTCAGTTTTTGACTGAAGTTGTCACCCAAGTGTCGACGTAAGGTGGGGTTTGAGCTGTTCGCTGCTTGTGCTGCAATAAACGAATCCGTTCTAACCAAGCTACTACGAATATTCGATTGTAGTACATTCATCATTTCAAAATTACATAAATATGTGGTGCTCGTCGTAATAAAATATAAAAATAGGAGTTTGATTGTCAAAGGAAGCATTAAGTTTGGCCTAACTATTAAACGTTCCAATCATATTCTTGCCGTAGAGAATCTGGGAGTAAATCGAAAACCTTACAACTAACATTGAACATTGAGTATGAACTAGAAACATTTGTATGAATATTCATAATTGCTCTTACTAGAATATACACACACATAAAAGGTTGCTTTTATTCAAATTACCTGCCACTTTATATCCCGTTATCGATATAGGAGGCCAGTTTGTCATGAGGAACGCCAGGACAAAAGAACGATTAGAACTTAGGAACACAGTCAAGTAAATTGTACAGTCGGCCTCATAAATATTCGTACCCTGTATGTCTATTAAAGAAGTTTGTCTAAATTAAATAATATGTTCGTTTTTTTAAATATACGTTTCATTATAAATAGTGATGCGCACGAAACGAGATACTCAAGAAGATCGAAGGAAGATTGATTCCTTCTATCTCCGAGTCTCCAGTCACAGCAACCTCCACGTGGTGAGACCTGGTAATCGGTATTATTCATGACGAACAAACCTTCGTCGCGAGTAATAGCGAGCTAATGGCTGCGTACTTGTAATAAGATCTTTAGATATAAAAAGTGCAAAATGTAAAGTGTAAAGTGCAAAAGGGCAAAAGTGTAAAGTGTAAAGTGTAAAGTGAGATTAGATATACATATATTAACAAGGGCAACACCGAAGAGCCATGGGTGGTACCAATGGTCCGTAAAAGAACAAAGTATCCAGTATATAATTAGTTTTCAGAAAATTTCATTTTTATAAATTATGTATTAACATTAATATATTTTGATTGCAAAATGTTAGCCATTTAATTTAGACAAATTCCTTCAATGAACACGAAGGGTACGAATATTCATAGGACTGACTGTACATTAATGTAAACGGTATTTCTCATATTTAGTGCTGATTTCTATGATTAACCCTGTGCGAACAAAAATTGGGGGCACGATGGAACTTAATGCTAGTTCTGACTATCGAATTCCTCTCATTAAATTCTTGTGTCACTTACAGAGGACTGGGTCCATGGACAGCGGTTGGTTCGCAGCCTGAGCCTGCGGAGTGTCAGCGTAGCTAGGCGATTGCACGGATGCTGTAATTCAGTTTGTATTAGTAATTAATTTCAACAGAGATGAACTCTGCACGTCTGCTCGGCTTACCAGCGTAGTTGGTGTTCCATCTGTTGACAGCAAATTGCTGTCCAGTGGTAACAGTGACAACCGATGGCAGAGGCAGCTGGGGATACGTGTTGGCCGAGATATGGCATATCGGCGAATTCGATGGGAATTTAATCGTCATGCATACATCGTCCGGAATGCTCGAGAACATCATCGGTGACTGCAACATGGGTGGCAACGTCTTGTCAAACTTCGCGGTACTCTTCACGTTCGGAACGTTTGAACAGAAAGAAAAACGTGCATTGCACGTATTTGTAGGTATATGCGAATGACTTTGATCGATCTAGCGAACGCGCTGTGCAGATGGCTAAGTTGGTGGTCCACAGGGTAGAGTCCGGAATACAAGTAAGGATTCTATAGGATGTTCCATTTCTTGCGATCCGTGCGATTATTTTCGGAATTTTTAGAGAAAATGTTTCTAAACGATAGCTAGTCTGTTTTTAACCACTTAGCTTATAATGTCGCACCCGAGACGTGATATACTGACCGGGCCAAACACCAACAAGACGTATCAGAGACGTGGTGGACTAAACTAAATATTTTTCTAACAATTCCGAAAATACTCGCCTTGCTAAGTTAAAATGGAACAGATGGCTTAATAATACTATGAAAGTCAACTGTTCTATTTCTGCACTCGCAGGAGTGCTACTCTAAATGTACTCTAGAAGTAGCGTACTCTTTAGAACTCATGCCATTGATAGAAATAATCAATTAAGAGCTCTACCTTAGGATGAAGCTTTCACCAACGTACCTCGATACTAAATACCTACAATACAATGCACGCTCTTCTTTTTACAAAGTTCTACGAGATACTAAACACTGGTGTCACTCGTAAAAGCATGATGTATTGTGAAATGAATATTGTTTACCAAATGCATCGCCGAGCTCCGCGGCGGATGAGGCTCCATCAGAAGCTGCGAGGGAGTTTGGCCGAAGTTTCGTATTTGGTTTTCTATGGCTTCTCTTATTACTGAGTCTGTTATGGTATCTAAATCTACGCTGCCCTCGTACGTTAAATAGTAGAAAACGTTTGTTGCTCGAATAGCTTCCGGACCTTAAAGAAACAGAGGAATTACTTTGAACAACCATATTCGTTCCAACTTCTTTGTTCACTCTCGAGAGTTCAATCCAGTTGTATAATTTTAAATACTATGCTCGATAACTTCAAAACTGGAGTTGACTTATTCTAAGAAAACGGGAGCAATACTCCACACTTTATTTCATTCTACTCTCTACTGAACAGCACCGAACACAATGTAAATTCGTATCCCCATTGTCTAACTTCGAATAATATATTCAACAGCTACTACAAAGCATTTCACTTTCAGAAGATTGGATCAACTCAATCTCCATAGTCTACTTTACTTTCTCGTCTATTCAATTATTGAAATAAGAGTCCAGTTCAGTAAATACAAAGTAAGCTCTCATGGCCTACGAATACTTCTTGTTCGCTTTCTGAGCCTGCTGTCGATTGCTCATGGGCGGTATTTCCGGTTGTACATTCGTGCAACCGGCTGTAAACGTGTTACGTATTACGGGGTGGCACGCATTGTCGCGCCCGGCACACGTGCCTAATTGGTTGAGACAAGACCGGGAGGAAGCTAACTAAAAACTAATTCCTTCCATACGCGCGGCGAGCGCACCGCCTCACTCCTGGCTCCAGGACGGCATCTTCGGGGAAGCGCCGGATATAGAGGCGCCACCGACAATTACCATCGGTGGAAATCTAATTTGACTCGACTACGCATGTCCCAACACTAGGACCAGCACTCGAATTGCTCGAGCCCATTGTCTGAATATTATACAAATAGAAAGGAAAAACTCACCTTTCTGCTTGTAACCGAATATCAGGTCGATCCACTGATGCAATTGGCAGGACACGAACTCTGATTCTAGAGCCTAGAGGTATTTAAAAATAATCAAAATAAGGTTCACTCTACGTAAAAGACGCTTTAAATTAACTCTTTGAATTCCAAGGAGCGAAATATACATTTTTCTTTACAATCATGCATCTTTGTTTAAAATTGTCTGGCATTTCTTGGATATGTATGACAATTTCCTCTGGCACTCAAAGGGTTAATTTCATTTTTGACCATGACTTACCATTCGATTAATTCTGATGAATTCCTCTGGAGACGATGCCCATGGCGGTAGTTCAACGTCGCCAACCGAGCTACCGTCTTCCTGCCTACCCAAGCGATACCGATTACTGTTCACCAACATTTCCGGTAAGAAGAAGAACTCGGGAATGAGCTCCTGTTAACAAAGCGAATAATTTATTACGACGCTGTTCTCTAACGTATCGGGACGAGGCACGCGAAGATTTATTCCTGGACAATAACAATAGACGTGAGCATCCGTTGCCCGTAGAAGTGTAACTAATAAGTAGAAGCATTGGAAACCGAGAACGAAACGAACCTTGACGTCGGAAGTGTCTCGTTGGCAGTTTTTCCAGGACAGAGCTATCGAGGAGAACAGTCGATTCGGATGATCGAACTTGCCGCCTTGGAGGGCCAGAAACATCGTCGTCATGGGCTCCTGAGACATTAAAATTGAAATTATCATTATATCAGCTACTTACAACACACTGTAAAGACTGTAAAAGCAAATCTGAAAATTCATCAACACTGTCAACGTTTCTCCCTGCTTATAAGGAACCTTACTCGTACTATCGAAATGTTTTCTAAAAAAGGAACGGTACTTGGACCCAGAAACTTCGAAGCTTATGGTAAGAAGCACGAGCGCATAAAACAAAGGATCGTTGACCGACTGCACACTCGTAGAACCCAAAGGTAAGCACTTCCTCATGAATAACCTACAATCTTTGACCCATCATACAAAGACCCTTCAGACGCTACTCTGGTATATGGTTTCGCGCTTAATGTCCTATCCGTCCTCCGTCAGCCGTTCGCTCTTCTGACAGCCTGATGAATGTTAACAGAAGACCTCCCGCGATCGACGTCCATTTCGTGCGTAGGCGTACGTGAACGTCGTTGCGTGATTTACGAGATTTTCGACAAGTTGTACACAATACCATCGCCTACGATCGAGACTTCTTAAAGATCAAGAGTACCTTTACCGATTCTTTTTATGGAAGAAGACTCTGAAACCCATTCGAAGGCATCTACCAATAATTAACACTTTGCTAACCCTACACTTTACCCGACCTATACGAAATAATAAAATCTTAGCTGAAACTCTTGTAGCACATAGATTCTTCTCCGTTTCTTCCACAGGTATGACCTGACGCCACGGCTGTACGAAGATATTTATAAAATAGACCGAAACATACAACGAGCATCGCAGTTATAAAGCAATAAATTGTTTATGACGCAATATATCCTCGCTCGAACAGCGGGGTGTCGTTCCAACCAAAGGGGTAATAAAATGCTTATTGACGATTTGCATGTAAATGCGTCGGATACTACTAACCCATTCGGGCCATGCTACGTCGGGCATTTATATGAAATTGAATCGCTGTCGGGCGAATTCGCGGAGAAATCATCATCCAGCCGGACAGAAACGATACGATCGACGTGGAACGCGATAAAGGCAGTCGTGAAAGCTAAACCTATGATTTTTTTCTCGTGCCGCTGATCGTTTTGCCAGGGCAATAACGCGAAAATTAATATAGTCGTTAACGTAATAGAAACGCGACGACTGGAGCCAGTAGCGGTGTATTTTTGCGCCCTGAACGGCTGGGACCATAGCGTGCGCACGTACGGGGAACCCCAGAGAAAATGCAGGAGAAAACAAATGCACATATTTAACGGGAAGGCGGGCTTCGTTGACTCGGGGGCGTTCCCACGCCCCCAAATTAGTGTGCAGACACTACCGAATGCGTCGTAAGAATTTATGGTTCGAACTGGACAGGTTTCTTAAATAGACGGTCCAGGAACGATTGTTGAGCTGTTCCTGACCGCTTTGAGGATGTGTTTGAAATGGTCCGAAAAAAATGTGAACGATATTAAGTCTTGTTTAGAAAATATTGGATTAGGAGAGGCTTTATCGACTGAGAGAGAGAGGCTTTATCGTCTAAATTCATCTACTGCATACTATACATTACACATAACATAATTTCTTAACAATGTTTGAGTAAGATAAGGTTCTTTTATGGTATTGTAAGATAACATAGTATAAGTAGCGTAAGGTGAAATGTGTTAAACCGAATAAACTCTAAGTTGGAGCGTAGTGTTTAAATTATGATTTGTTTGCTGCGTGTCGTAAGAGAGCAGTTATGTTATGTTCACAATAAAGGAATATTAATTAGGTTGAGAATTATATTATCTTATTTACTTAATTTTGTTGCTTTATATAGGTCCCACAGTATTGAATAAAAAGTCCACGGTCAAGATGTACGCAAAATATATTTATCAAGTGCTTACCACGCGAATCATCCAGTTCAAAACGAAAGCAGCCGTGGAATAGTGCGTGCCATAATGGAAGGGCGGTATACTGTCGTGCTCCCAGCTCTGAAAGCGTTCCTCGAAGTAAGCCCTTCTGCTTGGATTCAACGCACCGATCGGCTACGAAAAGTAACGAAGATGTTCGAGTAACCAATTCAAGCAGTCAGATAAAACATAAAGATAAGTGGTGGTTTTATTACCTTCGACAAGTCACGATAGTTGCTGGGCAAGCTAAGATCCAGCTCCTTTGTCTCGTAGTTAGTCAATACCCATGGGAACACGGGGTACTGATTCAAATCGTTGTATGTCCGACCTGAAATATAAAAGATAACACTCAATCTCCTTGTACACATCGCCAATTGCACCCGTGTTACAACGCTTTCTGTATTTCCAAAAAAAATGTATCCCGAAGCTAGTAGATTCTCGACTGCCCTAATGCAATTGTTCATCTCTTAATTCGCTAAGTTGACTCTTTTCTGTGCCCAACAGTAGTCAGTCGCGTGGACCAGCCCTCCCCCGAAACGAGATTCCTCGTCCAAAAATAAACGAGCCATCAGCGTCTTCCTTTTAATGCGTATAATCACTGGACCTAATTTTTTTGTGGAGGCCAGAACGGACGGTCACTTTTCTTCCAGCGCCACCCTCGCCACGGTCTGTGACGGACGATGAAAAGCGGGTGGTGCTTCTAATTCTATTTTTACAGAATGGAGGGGAGAAGAGAGAGAGATGCTCTCCGTTTAGTAAGCGCATAACTCAGACCGTGACGGCTAATCGTTCCTGAAATTGTCACTTCTGGAGGTCTCACTCTTCCACCCTCGCCCTCTCAGCCCCGAAATCCCATTCCGAGATGCATTAGTGACGGCAGCGCGCCTGCAAGCCTGGCTTCGTCTAATCTCCTTCCCTGTCGCTAATTAAAACCCGTCAGCAAGTTTGTCAGAGGACGCTTCCTCTCGTCGGATCGTTTACGCGCGAGTTTAATTCCTACTTCGTTCTGCTTGCTTTCCCGATTCGTCGACAGACGTCTGGAAGAGTGTCCTCTTTATTACGCTGCGATTTAGAGAGGTTTCGTGACGTTTTCTACTACAAGTCACTATACAATAATGTATACAAGGTGAGGCAGGTACACTGTTACGGAGTGATAATGCCTAAATTATCGTGGATACACAACAATCTTACAGAAAAAAGTTAGAAGGTTCAAGGGGGTCTATTTTCTATGACTTTTTTCTGTAAGACTTTTTGTATCTCCGATAATTTAGACGTTATCATTCTGTAACACTTTAGCTGTCCTACCCTGTGTATAGGTCGGAAAAGGACACAGTTCAAAGTTACATAAGCCTTAGCAATGAATGCAACTAGTAGCTATAACTTAATACACATTAATATGTACCATGTAACAAAACTATCAGCGTTTTCCTCTTATCGTCGCATTATGAACTAATCATGAGACACTTTTGAGTTTTGTGTAATTTTGGGGTTCCTGCAACTCCTGAGCCTGGATCGACTAACCCAGTTGGCCCACCCTGCGATAGTACTCGTATCACCAGCATAATTCTTCACAAGCAACAAGGATAATCGCGAAGCCGCAAAACTGGCGGTTGGATCGTCTCCAAGAAGCTCACCGGATACTCGGCTCGGCCGTGAACGAGAATAAAAAAGAGACGTAGGGGCAAAGAAGGACTCTGGCGGCGAAGACTACTCGCGGCTGAGGCGGTCGGCGCACAAGTCCCGTCGTTGCTACAATGCGTCGTAAATCGTGACGCTGCACGACCGACGGTCGGACGTAAATAATAGTAAGGCCGCGTTATGCATCAAAGTGATTATTAATGGTAGCGTCGCGGTGAGTGAGCGCCCTCGGAACGCTTCCCGACAGCGGAATGCCCGCGACACACGCGTACCCTTTCGTCTCCCGCCCTGCGGGTCCTACCTTCTGGCCCGCGGCTCACCCTTGCTCTTCGCTTGCCCCACCTATCCCCCTCGATCCTTCTTGAACAACGTTATAATAAGTGCTGGCCGCGACGAGAGGCTCGTTTTTAACTCGTCACTCGACGAGATTTAGAGGGACGTCGCTACCGCGGAGAAAAATCGGCAGGAAGTCCGACTAGATGGCCTACACCGAGGTGTCAAACTCATTTTTGTTCGAGGGACAGGGTTTTTGTTTCGTTACATTTTGATTCGATCAAGAGTCTTGTATTGTTTGGGGGTTCGATTTTCTTGAGAGAAGGAAACCACCTCGTGTTCGGAACATTGATTAAATAATTAAAGCTATAACGCTGCACTCATCTGAAAGGCTTCTCGGACAACAGTTAGTGATTCACCGCGGCTAGTTTCGATACCAACACATTCAGATCAAAATGTGTGGATGTACAGCTAACGCGAAAACGTGTAACGAGAACGGAAAGTATAATTCACGAGAAACGTGAAACCTTGCATGAATATCTGATGCAAAATTTAAAAGGCAACAAGTACCTATTGTTTGAAGTACGAAAACAGCCGTGCAAAGAGTTAGCGCAGTAACAGCTACACGAGTAGTATTGTTCAAGGAGTCGTCTTAAAAATTCAAGTAAACACTCCTCACAAAAAAAATATAGAGGCAGAAAGGTTATTTATGTTAAGTGTATTATTACAAAGGGTTTAGCTAAATCAAAGGGTAAAAGGGTCCTCTTGGAAAATCTTTCCCTACCAATTAAAAAATCTGTAAGAAATATTTCAAGTGGTACGATTAACGAAGCTCTCTTGAATTTCGGTGCGCGCAAGACGTTTTCACCGCCAGAAAGGTAAGGCCCAAGCCGACGGGGCCAGTGGCGGTGTATCAGCGGTAGGTGCACCGTGCGGCGCACACCTACGCGAACCGGCTCGCGTCACGACACGCAGCCTATCATATTTACATCGGGCCGGCTGTCATTAATTTTTAATAAACCGATGCGATCGAGCAAATAAACGAGTGGACCGGATCGCATGCGGGAGCCTGGCAGCGGGACCGGTTCGTACCGGTAAGGCTGTTCCCCCGCCGGGCCTTGTGCCCAATTGGGCCCACGCCGACTGACCACCCCCTCCCGCGTCCACCCTGACCCCCACCACTCCCACGACACGGCTATTTATTCGCGCAATTAATATATAACGCTCGTAAATACGCGGCCACCCTGCGGCCTCTCGCGGCGTTTTCTCGTCGATATACATACAAATAATTACGCGACCGCGGCGATCCTCGTCATTAAGCGGCCCGATTACGCGTGGACCGGCATAAATTCCCACTTACACAATTCTCGATCGACTTGTTTACGAGCAGCCTGTAAACGATCGGCTATTAGCGTCCATACGAGTGCCGTGTCAGGGCGTCGTGGGACAATTTCAGAAAAAAGTAGTTTGTTTGACTAGTGCATTGTCGCCAACTTGTTCCCCAACAAAAATGCTCGTGATTGCCATTACTATAACAATTTTTGCGATTGGTCCGTAAATGATAGGTCGGGAAGCAGTTAATTTCAGTTGAAAGCAAGCAACAGGAATAGGGAAACTCGTTTCATGGTGAAAACTGGTCGCGACATTTTTTGCCGTTGCTGATTTGTGAAGCTGTACTTCGAGTTGCAGGTGCAGGTGCGCCGGAAGTTTAAATCAAAAGATCTCACTTTCCATCTAAGAACAATTCCGATTTTTTTTTAAACTAGTTTACGTTCGCATTTAACTAAGAACATAATTTAAATGGGAGCTATAAAACAGCACCTGTATTACATATTACTTAATATTGATTATTAACACTATGACGTCCGCATGACTAATCGGGATTCTTTTGTTTGGTCTCAGTAGGAATGGTTCAGATCAATTCGCCTGTCGACAGCGCCGGCGGTTCTTCGAAGTTTTCGGGAGATCATAAATCGTCAAGTTTTACTAATATCATCGTCAGTTCTGAACTCTGTCCCTAAATTTTCACGAAATTTCGAGGATATATGTAAATAAATATAAGATTTTTTTGTATTATAGCTTTGAGTACAACATCAACGTGTTGTCACCGGACGGCACAGTGTTAATACTACATATTTAACTATCTACTTCCATTAAATCTCACATGAACCCTACTGCCACGAAGTTTCTTCTTCCCCCATTTTCTTTCCCACATTCTTCAACAAAAACAAACCTCTCAGGTACCAAGAACGCGACACAGAGAATAATTACAAGTATCCACCTAGATCGCTGCCACCCTTGAATTTCATTGTTTGTCGAAACGGCTGATCAGCGTGATCCAGTGAAAAAAAGAGATAAAGGGCCAGGGGTCTCGAGTTTCGTGATTTCGCGACGCGAAACACAAAAGGGCGGTTGATATTAAACCGAAGGAGAAACAAAGGCGGGTTTCCATTCGCCAGGCAGCGTAGGGAAGCGGAGGGAAGAGCCGGTCTCTCGGGAGAGGATTACCAGGGCCCACGAGCCGGGGATTACTCGTATGGGGTGGCTAAAGAACACGGAGCTGATTGAGAACATCCCTAATACACCGCGACAGATTCCATCCGCCCGTGTGCAACCGTAGATGCTTCCTCCTTCTCTAACTTCGCATTCTACTTCTGTGGTCTCTCTTTATCTCGCTTGGAACCGCGGCGAAATCGAGCGACGATCGGCCGTCCGCAGACGCCGCATTTTCTTTCCGCAAACGGTAAGCCGATATGATATTTTAGACACTAAGCACCCCCTTTTATTAATGCCGCAGTCTGTGGAGAAGAAAATGGCTTGCCCGACACGTAGAGCGATGGATCACTCCTCTACCTCCATATCGACCATTTTGATTTTGACCCTAAAGTAAAACAACATGAAGTAGAGAGAGAACTTACCTGCAATCGTGTTTAAGAACATCAGGTATTCGAAGTTAGATATCTCTCTGCGCTGCCACTTCTGTGTCATGTTGGAGCTCCTCATCAGCTGTCGAGGCGACATCATCGAAGCCCTCCTGCGAGAATAATGTGAATTTTATTTTCTACTGGTTTGAAATATTTTCATCATAACTTAATTTTTATGCAATCTTTAATTTCGACCTAGTATTCTATTCAAACTCTCCCCAATAACAGTTTCAAATTCCGATACGTATCAGATCAAAAGAAAAAAAAATTGTTGAGGGCACAGTAATAGGTTAAACAGACAATGTATCGTATATGGATATCGAAAACTGGTGTAATAACTTATTCATGACTCCCAGGCTGCATACGTAATGCGGACGTATGACTGATACATCAATACCTGTCCAAACAATTCGCGCTATCAGGGATGCATCAACGGCGCCATACGGTGAGTTGACTGACGCGAATGCAACATAAGTTCGTGGAAGAAAAGTCGTCGAAAAGGACATTAGCATACGCATCGTCATGGTTGTTACGCGAGTATCAATTCGTATCGCGACGATCGTTAATGGTCAACGTTGTCGACTCTAATTAACGCATTTATAACGTGTAATCGCTTATATCTCTGCATTCCTTAATGTATTACAGAAATAGGACATAAATTATTAAACACTATTACGAACGCATTAACAAAATTGTTAACCTCTGTGCTAGAAATTCAATTGGACGAGAAATATATGAGTTGTTCACTGCACAAATCGATTAACTCCACCAGGCACTGACGATTATTTTTTGTCTATTCCTTATTAATTTTATACACCCTTAAATGAAAGCTGCATCTGTATATATGTATTTCACAATATTTATTTGAATTTATACTATAAAGGGAATTCAAGAAAACAATGTACATTATTTCATCGCATATTTCAATTTTTTGTTTTATGGAGTTAACGGCTCATATGAAATGAAATGCTGTTTCAAAACGAGATCGAAGTAAAAAGTGTTCTTCATTCTTTGTGAATGATTCCTCCAAATTCTTTTTCGCTTCATGGAATGTGCCAACGAATGTTATCAAGCTTTCAAGCGGCGCAGCATTTCGTTTGTTGAATTTAATTGCTGAAATTAATACACCGCTTTAACGAGTTCCGACAAAGATCTACATCGGCTTTCGCGCGCAACGATCGCGACACTTGCACTCGATTCGTGAAATCTACCGCACAAGAACGCGGCTTGATGCTTTATATTCGCGCCGTAAAATTCTGCGAGGGGTTTTACGCACGGCGAGTTCGCTGATTTAGAATTTATACGAGAGACTTTAACGGGCGTACGCAGTGGACGACATTAAAGCAGGGAGAAGCACGCGACGACGACCGGATATATAAATACCGGAGTTGCGAACATCTCTCACAAATCTTAGACCTATGAAAATCTTTCACGCGATTTGGAACCAAGGGAAAATAGGACATTCTTCATTTTATGCCGCAGGGAAGATGCCAGTGAGATAGGGGATTTCATATGAAAGGAAACGATTGTATTTTTAAGATATGAAATGGAGATCTGCATAAAGCGGACTGTGTAATTTGTTTATGAACTGTTTTATAATATACATACTAGCTGCGGCTCACGGTTTCACCTGCGTGGAATACTATTCTTATTCGCGCAGGTGCAATACTTACTGCAGTGTTTATGCAAATATGTAGTTAGGTACTTCGTAACAGTTGAACGCATTCAACTGGGTGTAACGTAGAGATAGATTTTTAAATGTAAATGTTCATGGCGAATTCGGTCGTGTGATGAATGACCTATAATTCATTTCTCTGTGAATTATTTTCATTTTTCATTATTTCCTATACTATGCGACCAAATGACATGCTGTAAAAAGCAAACTTTATCTTTATGAAATTTCCCAGATGATGAAATGATTCTTTTTATAAAGATTAATATATTATACCTAATAAGTTCCCTTAAAACTCACCTTATAATTTTCCATTCATTTTTAATATAAAAAACGTTATTGTGGTTTAAATATAAAAGCAAGGAATACCGTGCCGATGGCTTTTTTCTAGATCTATTGATAATTCATATTTTTGTATTACATTATTTTCATATATATCCATTTATTTGGTCAGCGTACGTCGATAAAGCACCCTTTCGACTTGATTTACAAATTTCAAAATTTCTAATTGAAAACGTATTCTTATCAAAATAGAACATAGCCTAGGTTACTCAGGAATAGTGTAGCTTTCTATTACCGACAAATTTTTTAAAATCGGTTCAGTAGTTCTTGGAGATTACCCCTTACGTAATAATAAACAAACAAACAAACTTTACTTCTTTATAATATCAACATAGATTGTGAATTATAAAGACATATTCTGATGCTTTTGCTAGATTGGAATATTTACAGACTTTTATTACTTGACTAAAAAGGTACGCATATCCTTTTAAAGAAAAACAGCCTAAATAGGTGGTTAAGCTTCTAATGGCGAGACGTTTTCTTTTCGAAAGCAACGCGATCTCGACCATCTTCGACGTTACCATTGTTCGCCTGACAGGTTTTCAATACTCTGTCGCACATTTATTTTTCTCGCGACGCGAGCGTGGTACGGAGCGTCACGACGCGGGACCACGTTTTATATACGGATTATTTTTGCTAACCAGGAATCTCCCTCGAATCAGACGTCGGAGCCGGCCTCTGTATATTTATGGTCGGCGTATCTTTCTCGCCGACTCCCCTGTACAGGGTGCTCCAAAAAATGTCAATACTTAGGTAGAAGCAATTTTTATAAAGGAACAGAACCGATGGCGGGATATATCAACATTGTCGAAATATTCTTGGAATCTTCTCTGACGGTCTTCAGAGTTAGAATTTTGTAATTATTATTGCAACAATGCTGAAAGAAATGTGCCTCAGGGTTCTGGAGACTGCGGAGATTCCAAGAACGTGTTACCTTCTTAACGGTTTCATAATTGTATTATTATTTTAAATATTTTTCTTTATCATAGAGAAAGGATGATACAGAATGAATATACAAAACTCATCCTGAAACCGTAACGAGTTTCAATAATCTAATAGCGATGGTGAAGAATCGGAGTTTTTTCGAGAATCAAATATATTTGTTAATGTAAGAGTTACTCTTCCTTGGAAACACCCTGTATATAGGAGCGCTTTAATGGACGGATCGAAGCATGGATACGCGGACCTCTGTGTTTTCGCCGCCTCCTGTCCTCGTCGAGAACTGCAGTGGAGTATGTATTGGTATCGAAAAAATGGTTTCCAAAGTTAGACTATTAAATGTAATACGATTTTTGTTCGCACATTTTGCAACGAGATAGCGCAAAGGGTTAATGGAGCCGATTTTTAAGGGTGAACGTACACATCTGGATCGATTGACATCCACGACGTCTAGACTCCAGTTCCAGCCAAGTATTCCCCCATATACGATGGTTTGCAAACCTGTTCACGTGAAGCTACCGTAACAACAACCCGTATAGCCTCGCTTTCCATAATGACAGAAACAGGCGATAAAGATAAGACAGACAAGTCATCAAAGCTAACGCGGCGATTCCCACCACTCGGTTATCGTCATAAATTCACGTCGACGAATCCCATGGTATTTATATTATTCCATAAAAACGACCCATGGAAAACGCAGTGTCGGCGAATAAAGACGAATCCGCCAACATGGCGCATTCCTATCGCGTTAACGCTACGCAGCCTCATACCTAGGAAACTTTTCAATATCTATCCGCGCCTTTTATCATCCGATCTCTGCCAGGGTTTCGCTCGGACAAGAAAGCTCTAGATCCGATCCTGATCGCGAGTGGAATCCTGCGGAAGGGAACAAAGAAAGAGCGGAATGCAAGGAGCGTGTACCAGGGTGAGCCTGGAGGCCAGAGATCCCTAGATCCAGATGTTGGTAAAAGGGGTTCGGTCCTTACCTAGTCTGCGGAATCCCGTATTTGATGCCCACGCCGACTCGCGGTAGCGCCTTGATCACCTTTTTCACCGTCGCCTGGTCCGGGAACGCGAACAGGATCGAGGCTGTAGACAAAAAGGCGTTAAAGTGCGGATTATAAGCGAACCCAATTTCAACGGATCGTGTGTCACTCGTTCGGAAAGGATGGCAAGGACGAATTTCTTACTCGCGTCGCCCAATCTAGACTGCCTTGGAAAGAAGGAATTCTTTCAACACCTTACTGAAGGAACGAGGAATCCAATATTTATATAAATTTTTCATTCGCGATGAATTCTATTGCAGATCGCGCAAATGCTACGAATTACGTCCAACTCGCGAGACTCCACTTAACACAACGCCGACCGGTCACGAGTTAACTCGTGTTTGCATTTGCATTATCTATTTCAATTTATAAAATGTAGAATATTGCAAAAGCTTTGCCCATAGTGTCACGTATGTAAAATATTTCATTTCGATTCATTATGTTGGTACAATATAAATAAAGTTTATTGGAGTTTATTTAAATTGTTTTAAGTTCACATTCAATTACGAAATAATAGCCGGTGGCATGAAGTCGCTTCTGTGTAATAATTGCCGGTCAACAATGTGTTAATCAAATGAAATGATTCATCGAAAGAGGCTCCAACGTTGGACGCGGTCGGTAAACGCAAAGTTAAATGCGAAAATGTGAAAAGCGGATACGCGATGGACTTAATTTCACGGCTGTAATAGCATCAGTTGAGTTCCTCTTGGGAGTTCAAAGGGTAGCGTGCCAGGAGACAGTTACCATAAATACTTGCGTGTAATTTATGTAACTCCGAACACAGGGCCGGAATATACGAGTCGGTCTTAATCAAGGAAGAGGGTAAGTTAGAGGCGGCTTCGCAGAATGCTGCAAATATCGAAGAACCTTCTGTTTTCGTTGCCTCTGAATTTTCTACTGTACCTTCATGGTTATCTTTGTATAAAGCCCTATGGAATATGTACAAGTTTGCACCAAATTTTACCTTTTAAAGGTAAACGAGATTTTGAAAAAATAATCACTGAATAGTGTCGTTCTAGGTGTCATCTTAGGCATTTCATTCGTATTTATTAACATATTCGCGACCGGCAGATGTTTTACGTTTCTAATACCGAACACCGATGAAAATATTAAAATTCTGAAGTTGAAGTCCCATAAGTATTCGTACCCTTAGTGTCTATTGAAGAAACTTATCTAAATTAAGTGAAGGTTCAACGTTTCCAACTAAATGTTTCATTATAAGTACGTAGAGAAATAAACTTCACATATGTATTTATTAATAATGACAAATTTATTTGAGAACGTCAAGCTCGTTATTTAATTTCGTCAAATTTCTTCGATAGAAATAAAAGGTACAAATACTTATGAGACTGACTGTATATAGTGTATAAAACAAGGCTTTCATAATTTTGCCATAACCAGAAATAAAATTTGAAGTGACGTGAATTCACGTCAGCGGTCGCGAATGTGTCAACAAAGGTTTCCTTCAAGTCTCGATCAACGTTTAAAACCTCACGGCTAATGCCAAAACAACTCGAAACTACCTTTGTAATTATGCTGAAAAGTCTCTTAAAAAATTGTCAACAGAAAGGATCTCAAGAGCACGCAATTAAGCAACTCGAATCCTCACCACGGAACACCCGGTCGCATTTCCTCAAGTCACGGGTCCTTTTTACAACGTGCTTTTACAGCGTGTAATACAAAACGTATACGCATAAATTAACGAAGTTAATCGTTCACTGCGACCGACAATTAAAAGATAAGATTACACTAAATTCACGGAACAGCCGCGGTCGTAACGATCATCGTCGTGGCCACGGCCAGAGAAAACAGGACGATTTTTCTCCACGGCAAAAATTCAAGGGTGGACCGTCTCGTAAAGATCCGTGAAAGTTACAACGGCTCGCGCGGGGTATAAAGTAACTCGGTCGTATTTTTTTATTGTTCGAGGATTTATCACGGCGCGACAGGAGCCGACCGTGGCATTTTAGCCTTGCCGGTTAACGAACAACGCGCGCGTTTCCAGTAATTTTTTAATCAACGACGAAGCCTCCGCCGCAGGTATGACACATTCCGCCGGCGACGCTTCACGAAGCATCGAATGTCGAGATCAGATTAGAATCGAGGGACGGCCACGGGGGATATTTATCTGTGCCCGTGGAGAAATAATCAGCGGGGATTGCGGGCCCAACCGGCCAGGTATAAGTAATTCTCCCACGTTTGTTTAAGCGTACGCAACGACCGACGATCCTCTTCGAAAGAACAACTATATTTCAAGCGAAAACGCCTCGGTCACGGCGCGTCCTGATGCTCGACCGGCCACGGAGGAATGTTTTAACACCTTACAATGAAATCGAGATAACGAAGCTTCCCTTTTATCGTTCGTTTTTTCACTCGACCATCCACGAGCGAGCGACGAGATTTTGGTAAACGCTGGGACACGAAATCGGGCGAGATCTTAACGAGTTAAAGAGAATCACTCGTTTCGAGATGCAGCCATTATGAATGGTTGAACAGAAATTATTTTGCATCCAGGAATCTCGATTCTGGGATAATTGAGATTCAGCCAGAAAAATAACCCCTTTTCTCAAACATCCCAAACTCGTCATCTTCTTTCAAAGAGTATCTTACATGCCTTCCTCTTGTGATTCAAGAACAGTGACTTTAGATGACACCGACCAACTCCACTTTCTCCTATCTTGGTGAAAACAGAGCCTTTAGCGCCAAGATTTAATACAGATGTGTAACCTAGATTATTATTTTGATAATAAAAAGTGATATTAAATTTTATAAGGACAAGTATGATCTATCACGTTTCCATGTGTACACACTCTCTGTGAGTAGATATACGTATCTATACCAAATCGTTGGAAAATATGTTGTTGATCGTGTAAGTCAATTGATCCGCAAAAACGGGTCTTCCTCGGGCCGTCTTACTAAGCACGTGAGTTGTCCGAAAATATAGTCCATTACAAAATGTTGTTTTAAAAAGAAAATTTACGATCTTCTTTTGCCATAATTCGTGAAATAACTTGGGTAACTACTAAATAGAAAACAAGATTAAACATCCACCTCAATGAAGTAACAAGAAATCTGTATAACATAAATATACCCAGAAGATTAAACAAAAAGCATCCGAATGACCTATTATCCTAACATGTCCTACCATGTTACAACGGGTGAATTCTAGTGAGAATCATCTACGTGATAACATTTTTTCACACCTGACACAGGTTACCAAATGTCTGCTATTGGACAAATTGTGATCATATTTGGAGATGAAGAAAAAATAATTTGTGATTCAAAAGGCTATAAACTTATCTCTTGAATAATTGCAATCAATTTGAACTGCGAGACATCTCGTAGTTGGCAGTGAAGAGGTTAACATTATTATGTCAACCACCACTTGGCTTCTCGAGAATGCTTTAAATCGAAAACGATTGCTGAAGAGTTTCGCGGATTGAAGAGTACGAGTACGTTAGGAGCAGCGCGAGTTTCTCGGTATTTGGAGAATGATAGCAGAAGAAAGGAGGACAGCAGGTGCAGCTGGAATCGAACGATAGACGGGGAAAAAAGGGATAACGTAATGCGGGGCAGATATTTATTGCGTAAAAAGTAAACGGGAGCGCACACCTCGCGGCGAGCTCGGGATTCCGTTTCCAGTTTGCCAGATTAGATCACGTCGTGTGAAATAATGCAGAAAGGCACGGGCGACCGAGCAAGAAATGGAATGCGCGTCTATTCGCAAAGGGCCCCGCCGGCTCTTTCGGCGGGCTCCTTTGGAAACGAACGGAGCGAATCGCACGACTTACTTCTGCTGGCGAGGAAGATCTCGATCGCCACGTTCTGGAGCAGATAACGCCGAGAAAAAATCGCTCGAACCTCGGAGAAGTACCATTTTCCGTGCAAGTGGTCGCAGTACTTCAGCACCTGGAACAAGAAGAAATAGAATTTGGGTTAATAAAATTGAAAAGTAATTTGTAATAATTATAAGTACTGTGAATATTTCGTACACTACCCAAATTTACAAATATTCTCGACTGTGCCATTTTAAATCAAATACCGTTTGGCATCTCGAATATTTCGAGAAGAAGAACCATGTTTAACACAAATAAGAAATGGCTTCATAATCAAGTTTCCTGAATAGTTTGAATGACACGTCGCTCGGATCGTTGATTCCCAGAAACGATACTTCTGTACGCGGAATATATTCTTAACAAATGTACGTTTTCCACATTCCTCGTTGAATTTATATTGCACATTATCAAAAATAATAAATTGTGTAAATTAACATAGTCGAATTGAAGCTGGATAGAAGAGCAAGGAGTATGTTACGTCAATTTCAATCATTACGATGTATTGTAGGATAATATATGTAGTATAAGTAGTGTAAGGTAAAATGTGTGAAACAGAATAAACTGTAAGTTAAGGTGTGGTGTTTAAATTATGATTTGTTTGCCACGTGCCGTAAGAGAGCATCACCTTATGTCTGCGCGGCCTGAATCGGATAGTTTCGCGACAGTTGCTCGAAATCACTCGAAACGATCAGTTATGTTCACAATAAAGGAATATTAATGAGTTTGAAAATTATATTATGTTATTTACTTAATTTTTCTGGTTTGTATTGGTCTCACATTCATCTCGGACATCTGGAGGCTGTGACTCTAAACTACTCTAAACAATAACGCTCCTATTAACCTCCAAGTTTTCCTACCATTCTTAAAACTAAAGTCTTTTGGTCAATCAAGCATCAATCGAGTGAAACTTTTGTAGCAAATATTTGCAGCAAGTATGAACGGCAAAGGGCGTAAACGTCAGTGGTCTATAGAGGGCTCGAGGATTTAAAACGACCGGAAGGAAGACGTGGGCATCGATGAAGCATCCGGGAAACATTCAAAGCGGTACAAAGTCGCGGTGCGATCGCATGGCTGACTGTAAGTATGCAACCTGGATGCAGTGAAGTGTGATGTGATATAGTGAGACCAGTGCCGGTTGCAAGATGGCCGTCATGGTAGGAGGAGCCTCCTGCTGAGCCGGGAATCGATCCCAGGACTTCGCGGACTTGCGCTCTCGAACGGGTCGTGAACAACTCGTAGGAGAAAAGGGGAAGGCAGAAAAAGGACGAGACACACCGGCGAAGAAAGAGGCCGAAGGACAAGACAAAAGATGGACAGAGCCAAAGGGGAGCCCGATTTACCGCCCTGCGGCTCCAGCAGGCCTTTCAATTTTTCCCCCTTAATGAGCGGACGCCGACGTCGCGGTGTCCTTACGCTTGGCGAATGAAATTATCCTCGATATAATCCAGACGAACGAGCAATTCGATGATCAATACTTATATTTAACTACTTGACTGCTCTAATAGTTCCCCCTTTCTAAAGTTAACAACCACAACAGGTACCATCTAACCACAGAAACACCAATCTACTCAATTTTGGCAGTCAAACCACCCGGTACCCGCTCCCTTCCTAAACACCAAGCCCTTATTCCTTAGCCCATACAAGCTAAAATATACATAAACAATAAGACCCGTCAGCCAATGGCAAAAACTGTAAATAAAACATCTTCATCCCATTCAGCAGTCACTTCACGTTCAGTACTTGTAAATATATCCTTTTCTTGTAGCATCCTGCGGATCCCTCAGAAGAAATTCTTGCAAATGCCAAGTCCTTACCGTTTGTCCAACGCGGCCCGCCGAAACATCGAGGTGGAAGTAGTAAATAATTCATATCGAGTAATAACAAGTAGAAAAAGCTGGCTGGGCGCGGCGAACAGGATGCGAGGCAACGAACCACGTCGAACACGAATGAATCGGTTTTCACGAATAATGTTCGAGGACGAGCATCGGCGTGGGCTCCCCACCGAATCGCAGAAGATCAAATAAATACGGGAGATGGCATTAGGGTGGCGCGCAGCGGCGCACGCATGTCGAAATCTAATTACAGGAACATAAGCGGCTCGAAATCCTCCGGGGACCATAAACGTCGCGTCAACTCGGGGGATTAAGTACGGAACGCGTGCTGTTTGTTTTAATAAGTCGTCGTGACACTTGTTAATTTCCTCTCGGAGGACAGTCGTGAGAAATAGATACACGCTGAAGCTATGAATATTTTCGAAAATGAAGAAAATTGGGATTTTTGTCAGTTTAACGTTCTCCATTGTTAACATTGATCGCAGATACTTGATGGATAGATCATTTTAAAACGAAATGTTAAACACGAGAATCTTTAACACGCATGGTCAAAGACATAGGAAAATCTTAAATTAGAAATATTCTTTGAATATATTTGGAAATATCGATCGCTGTAACTGCGTAGATGAAACTGTAGTGAGTCGTCGCGGCGATTCGACGCGCAAGATTCGAGCAGGGGTGGGAAGGGGATGACCAAAGCCAACCCCTAAACACGTGTGCGCAGGCTCCCAGCAAATATTGCGTGAAACTGATAAGAGCAGCGCCGTGATACGGCATTCGTTGTTTGGATACCTCGATACGTGTTGTATGGTGATGGAGATACAACACGTATTGAATATTGTATCACCTCCTAGAGGTTGATGAACGCTCTATGTTCCCCAAGACTATTAATTTTCCCCATGTTCGATATATCATGCATCAGAGTACTCGACTACAGCCTGGACCTTTCAGCAATGATATACTAGGCAGCATTTTTGCAAATTGCTATCTACGATAACAGTAGGATAGGAGAGTAATGTTTAACCCTTTGCGGTCGTATTAAATTTAGACATGGGTGTCGTACTGCTCGGAATTAATTTCCGAAGAACGAGCAGTGATACGTAATATGCAAGATTGTGGAGGATAAATAAGATTTATTCATTCTTTTGTGATAAGACATATGTTTACCCAATGATGTGTTTTAATGTTATGTTTCTATGTAAATATTATATTTTATAATTCTCCATCATGTGCTATGGATTAAGAAATATGAATACAATTATATTATAAGTATAGAATGTTAACATGTAGTTAGAACGTGAGATATAGATCTAAGTCGCTTATGTAAAATAACTGCATTGAAAAGAGAAGTGGTATATGAATATTTCTAATTCATGCACTTAAATAGAAAATAATGAGCAATGACATACGACCGCAAAGGGTTAAACAAATCTACCGTTTGATTTGTGAGTGTACCCTACAAAAAGATCAAAACCTTGACTAAAAAACTCTATTACATCGATTTGCGCCAGAAGCAAGCACAGACTTACAAAACGAGTCCAAAAGTGAGTCGTCGAATCATCGGACACCAGTGGATACACCACCCTCGCGCGACTAATATGTTTACACGTTCGATGAACCGTCCTGGAACTATAGACGCGAACACAGTCACGCACGGTAGGGCGGTTAAAAAGAGATCCTGGTCTCGTGGAGTGTCAAGTGGTGCGCGATTAGTGTTCCCCATGCAACGTTCATCTCTCACCGAGCCGAGATCGTCCCGACTCAGCAGTGCGCCAGGGTTCCACGACGACAATGGGGCGTCGTGATGTAACAACATGTGTCGCGTTCACAGGGCCCCCTCGGTGGCTGCTGGCCTCTATGTACACCATAGGGCACCAGTAGAATGGGGACCACTTAGCAGCCCGCTGGCGGTATACAACAAACAGATTAAGCACCAGAACAATAATAGACCCCCCGTTCTCCAGGCTCTTGGCTGGTCGTCCGCGAGTGCACCCTCTCCAGATCCTTCTTCCAAGTGCGAACTACTCGAAATCACGATAGCTCGTGGCCTGGCGAGGAGGGGACACGGTGGTTTATTCGATTCGGGACACGAGCAGCCAAAGTGGCCCGATCATTAATTATCCTCGACTACCGACCAGGGAAAGCGTGTACAGAGAATTTTACGAGGAGCTCGTTTAGGAAACTTGTCGATGCAAGGATCGTGTTTTGTGAAAGTTTAGTATCCAGAGGGATAATGGACTGGCTAACGGTGATTAGCCGTCCTCGAGAGCAGTGAATCATTGATGGAGCTGGTATTGATCCATCGTGGAAGCTGCTACTCTTGTCGAGCGTTAAAAATTGTTGGGTGAGAATTTATGAATCGTAATGGTAGTTATGAACAAATGTTTTCTGACGCGTGACGTTGATCGCAGTTCGGGGTTGGAGAGTAACACGGTTGTGATTCGCTTCGGTAGTTCTTGTTCCTTTTCTAGAGTCGATTGCGTAGACGGGAGAATTCAATCGATACCGTGAGATAAATAACGAGTGGACTTTGCTGGAAGGGTGAAGATTCAAGCAATATTTACACGCTCTTATCGTTGTTAATTAACACATTGTTGTTCGTTCACGAGTAAACTCGTGTTTGCACTTGTATTATCTGTTTCAATTGATGAAACCTAGGGCGATATAGAATATTGTAAAAGCTTTCCTCATCGTGTTTAGTCCTGTCGGTTTTTCATTTCAATTCATTATGTTGGTAAAATATAAATGAAGTTTATTCGAGTTCATTTAGATTGTTTTAATTACACATTCAATTACGAAGTAATACCCGGTGACACGAAGTAGCTTCTGTGTTAAAATGATCGGACAACAATGTATTAATTATTACATGTAGCACCCTCATTGCTGAATTTCTGTCTGCGCCACTGTTCCGTGAGCGTGTCGACTGACGCGTACAAAACGTTCGAGAGCCATCGAGACGGTATCCCAGGCAGCAGTGAGTTATGCGTGTCACGTGCGCGTTCTCATACCTTTATTACCGTATCTCACACGAGATAACGCATCGCGGCGTCCGTCGCACAAAGGGCTCCCGTTGATGCGAGCAACCCCACCGCCCTTAATAAACCACGAACACGTTGACTACCAACCTGGACAAAAAGGTGTCTAAACCAGCGTGTACCACGAGCAATTCTTAAGGGACATGGCCTCCGCGTACTCAGCCGTGGAATGTGGATCTCGGGGAGAGGACTGGCCTTCGTCGTTA